ATATTTTTAGATTTCCATATTATTCATATTTAGATGTTTTATATATTGCAGTTTTTCTCTTTGTGTGTTTGTTGTTTTAAATGTTGTTTTTATGTATTTATTATATAATACAGTGGGTATGGAAAGTATTCAGACCCCTTTAAATTTTTCACTCTTTGTTTCATTGCAGCCATTTTCCAAAAATCAAAAAAGTTCATTTTATTTCTCAGTAATGTACACTCAGCACCCCATCTTGACAGAAAAAAACAGAAATGTAGAAATTTTTGCAAATTTATTAAAAAAGAAAAACTGAAATATCACATGGTCATAAGTATTGTATGTATTGTATGTATTTTATATAATAATATATATACTTATATAAAGCACTTAATTTCCTGTGTTTAGATGTAGAAATGAACTTGCCTTGCCCATCATAAAGTGGGACTATTTCGATAACATGCATGTGAGATTGTTTCAGGTTTTTCCTGAATAAATTGTTGTGTATGAGGTGTTACCTGTATGCACATCATCAGGTGGTGTGGACCACAGTGTTGTACTACTGGCACTCTCTGTCACTGAGTTAAAGAAACCACCAGAAAACAGACTGAGAATCAGCATCTCTGTTTAAGCAAATAGCGTGTGAGGATGTGAATCAAGCTCTAAAAGACGTTCCTGAACACAATATATTGCACATAGTTCAAATAACCTGTAGGTGATTGTTGCTGGTTTCTGGTAATGGCTTGAACTGTGGTAAAAGGGAGGTTTAAGATGAGTGCTGGAGGACTGAAAGGTGCAGGAGCTGTCAAAGAACAACAAGAGGTGCTCAGGAAGGAAAAATGAATACAGCTGCAGTAATACATAATCTAACGTTGACATACCTGCATAGACTGTGAGCTTGATTTCTGTTTTAGGATCAAAATAGTTTGTATCTATTTCACACCAGTACGTCCCACCATCATTCAGGTTCAGGTTATAGATGGTCACATGCAGGATCCTTCCTTTAGTATCATCCCAGAGATAATATTTCCCTTCATGTATCCTCTCTTCTGAATTTTTACCAGAGGTCTTAATCAGAATTGTTCTTTTACCATAAATGCCCTTAGAGAAATATTTCGGATATGTTTCATACCCAGAGTCATATTGGCAGAGGATGTTAACTAGCCCTCCCTCCTGGGCTGATGCATGTATCTTTGATTGTTGGCATCTGACTGCTGCCAAAGAAAAATAAACAGTAGTTATTTTTTGTAATGGCAAAATGGGCACAAAAACTTTGCTTCAGCTGTTTTTCATCCTTTAACTGGATGTCTTCAAAGAGTTGATGTTCAGCCAATTTATATTGAAAATGGCTCAGAAAAGCAAAAGTTCTCAGCAGTATAATAAAATATATCAACACTGTAAGGGGATCATTTTAAAATTGCAGCTCACCAGAGAACAGCCAGATGCTGAGAAGAAGCATTTTCCTCATTGTGATCTTTGTCAAATTCTCTCTCACCTTTTGTTTCCCTTAGCTTCTACCAGTTTCTCTGCCCTTCACCAGCTCTCAGACCACTTCTTAAATTCAGTCGAAGGCTTTCATCCTGCTCAAGAAACAGTACTGGAGCCCCACAATGAACGAGGAGGTGTTGAGGGTGATCATGAGTTGGTGATGTAGGTGTGAAGCTTGTCCACTACAGACTCTTCCTTTGCTAACATCTCTTTTTCCGTTCTCATACAAGCTGTGCGTGTGCGTGTGTGTGTGTGTGTGTGTGTGTGTGTGTGTGTGTGAATGTGTTTTTTTCCACAGTCAACCACAAACAGACACTCACAGAAAATACAAAAATTTACAGAGAACAAAATCCACACATTGATTTTACAATATTTTATTAGGGTAAAATCATTTTTTAAATTAGTATTTTAATCATTTGAAAAGTAAATAAATTCAGAATTATTAAAATAAATATTCATTCAGCCTTAGAACAGAAATGCATCTCAGCGGTGCATACTGGCTGTTTAGCAAAGCACAAATTCTTAGGAAGATACTGTAGGCGACTCAACAGTAAAGATGGCAGCACTGAGTTCAGACATCGCAATAGACTGTTGATTCATCTGTCGAAATGTGTTTAATGCTGGCATACGTAGCTGATGCAGTGCGAGGTGTGACTGAGGTGCAGTCGGTGTGTTTGTTGAAGCTAACAGTGGAGTAGAAGAGACTGTCTGGTTGGATCTGAGGCTCTGATGAAACAGTGACATTGGAGTAAATATTGTCTGCATGATCTCTGCTGGTATCTTGATGCTGAACGGACGACGATCTGAAGATGTCGTCAGTCGTGCCATCTGTTTCTTGGTCCTCATTGGCTGTTGAAGAGGAAGTAGTGATGTGGTGTGCACCTTGTTTCTGACTGGATAGTGATGCATAAACAGTGTCCTTTCCTGTATGGAGAGTAATGATACATTTACAACGTTTTAAATCCCTGTGAAATTAAACTACATCTTTACTTTTACTTCTTTTTGGGCCATACGGCTGCATCCTTCGCCAACATTTTGTTTCAACAGGCAAAACATCGAACTAGAAAATTACTGAATACATTTTAAGTCAATTCAAGTCAAGTTTATTTGTAGAGCCCAAAATCACAAATTAGTCTCTAGGGGCTTTACAATCTGTATAAAATGGAAAAGCATGTCCCTCTTCTTGCTCTCACACAGGAACTACCACTATTAAAGTGCTAAAATGTTACATTTTGAGATGTGCTAATTATTAGGCCTGTTGTAGATGGTTGCAAAGAAGTTGAAAAGATGTTAAATGAGTTTCCAATGTGGCAGCTATAGAGCTGTTGCTTGGGCTTTATTAGGTGGTTTCCGTGTTCAGAGTGGTTTCTATGTGGTAGCTCTGTGGTAGCTAACTTGTTTCGAAAGTGCTAACTATGGTTTCAAGGTTAGGTGGCTGCGTGGTTGTATTCAGAGAGTAACTGTAGCTATGGCACCACCACTCAGCTTCGTTGCCCAGTGGCCACCATTGGTAACCATGGGTCCCCTGCCACCCACAAAGGGCTCCATTTTAAAAGGACATCTGTAAAACTCTTGACAGTAACCCTGAGACTTTTTTGGCTAAAGCACTGGGCCAGCAATTTTCACAAAGTCGTTGCTGGATGTGTGGGATAGCTGTTGATGTGAATCTGGGTGTTTTCCATTATCTGTGTTTCAAACTGCCATCGTATTCTGAAAATATTATTATATGAGTCTGTGATTTATATACCAGAAAATGTTGTGATGTCTCTGTTTCGATGTCTAAAGAATATTAGAAGGACAATCGCCAGAGTCAGCACAACTACCCCAAGCCCTGCTCCGACATACGCCAGCTTTTCTGAAAAAGATACAACATGACGTCAGTGATGATGTATATATCATACATATACATACATATATACATATACATATCACCATACAACCATACAGTTTCTTACTAGAGGATAAAGCATATGTTGCCTCATCGGGTTTTCCTGAAAGAAAAAAGAAACAAAAAAATGATCTTAATTTTGTTCCTTGTTCTCAGTTACTGTTTATCTGCTGCGTTAGTATTTGGTTTCTTTCCTGTAATGTCTGTCTGTTGTGGAAAAGAGAAGATCGGTTTGAGACAGACAGTGTTGTGAAATATTGGTCACATTTAAGTGAATGGAACCGAAATCTTTCTCTCTTAAGTGGTGAAAAATAACAATGTCATAATACACATTCATATACAGTGCTAAATCAACTCACCCATTATGACTGTGAGGTCTACCATATTGTACGTGTCGACACCAATTCTCTCTATTCCACACCAGTAGGTTCCTGAGTCCTTCTGCGTCAGATGAAAGATGGTCACCTTGAACGTGTTTCCTTCATCTATAATACTGTATTTGTCATTTGAACCTTTCTCCTTTTTTCTGCTACTTATTAGGATGTCTGCATCTTGACATGCTCCCTTGCAGAAATATTTGATGTTGGAAAATGCGTTGACGTGAGTGCATTTTATTGTGATGTCCTTTCCCAATTCTCCTATTACCGACACAGTTTCTGTCTCCCGCAACCCTGCGCAAAACAAACGAAGGTCATACTGTGTGACAGCAAACAGCTGTTAACCTCACTAGTTACACAGTCTGTACCTCATTTGTAAAGTTCATACCAACCTGATAGACTCGTTCTGTTCTTTGATGGTGGTGGCACAATGAATAAGACACATGCCTTTGGTGTGAGAAACCCAGGTTCAATCCCCCACTATGACCCATCCACCATTGTGTCCCTGAGCAAGACACTGACCTAATTGCTCTAGAGGTGTGCTACCTCTGACATATATAGCAATTGTAAGTCAGCTAAATGTGAATGTAATTCTTTAAAGCAGTGGCTCACAAACTTTTACGGCTCCGGACCCTTTTGATTTCTGGTCCCTGACAGAGACTGCACATGTCTGCGAGTATTGTAGTGTAGTGTTGGCAGTTTGTTCTGTTTTTTATTGTGTCATTTCAATAATTTTCAGAGGTCTATAGAAAAGTTAAAACTAGGCAGTACTTCACAAGAAAACAAGCAGAGATTAGAGTCTGTAAAAATAACCCAAATTTTGTGTGAGCACATTTTGTTTGTTTTAAACCCTGTCAATCTGAGAAAACTCACAGCCACAAAAACACCAAACATTCAGATAGAGGAAGAGAGACAAAGAGACAAAAGAATTCATCCCGGGAAACTTACCTCCCAGAAGAAAGACCAAAATTAGGAATATCATCTCCCTGATACTGATACGATATGTACATCTGGCTTTCCTTTGCCTTTTCTTATCTCAGCCTGATGTCAAGTCTAAGTAATTATCTTAAAATAAATGACAGCTCTGCACTTGTCATAGGTTCCTCTTTGTTGTTGCACTTCCTCTGACTACATGACCGTCTGAAACCATGTAAACCACGTGGGAAGCATCAAAACACCCTCCCATCTTTTGCCTGTCACACAGTGAATGTTCAAGATCAATCAGGCCAGTAAATAATTAACACAAGGACACCCTCAGATATTACCACTTGGTTTATTTAGTTGAAATGTCTCATAAATTATAGTTGGACAGTGCTTAAAACATACAGTGAGTTGAGTTGAGTTGAGACTCGTGCTGAGACTGTAATATCTTTTAATCAGTCTTTTCTTTTGCTCATGCCATACACAATGATGCATTTTCTTCTAGAAATAACAAAACAAAGCAAAAACTAACAATATTGCTACTTGATTTACTTGACTCCCGAAATGTTATGTCTTTTGAATTGACCACCATCCCTTGACTTTTTGTTTCTTACATACACAGTAAAGTTTATACAACAACAACAGCAACAACTTGCTGGTGTTTTGGCCATCATTCCTTTTAGTATAAATAACACATTAATCACCAAGTTAATTGGTGAAAAAATAAAAGTTAACATAAAGGTAAGAGTCATTCACGAAATGGTTGCCATTTCCACTTTATAATTTTCCAAATTTTCATCAAGAGCAAACTTTTTTTTTTACTTACAACTTGTTAAGATATGATAAACCCCCCAGAAAATATATTTTCCCACCTCATGCACAAAATCCTTATTAATATTATCCTTTTTATTCAAACATGGGAGCCGTTCTTGTACCACCCCGTCACGGACAATATGTGCACTCTCTGAGTAGTAATGCAAGCAATACATTTGTAAAATGTAATATTTTCCTACTAGTAAAATGTCCTTTTGTTGGAAACCATCAATACAAAGTATGTAATTTAATAATTTTTTTAATTCTTAGATTTTCCATCTAAAATTTGAATTCAACATGTCAGTGGCCTCATTGTTTGTACAAAAAATTCTAATTCACTTAAAAAAGTCTAATAAAAGTTTAAGGATTTTTTTGATTAGTCCACAAACCAAGAATTTTATTTAACATTAATTTATGGAACATTTCACTTCCTTTCCATCATTTTTTAACAATATGACCCTGTGACAGGGTGATACGGACAAACTGTTTCTCTGTTTGTTTTAGCCTTCATCTAACATTAGAAACTTTTGTTAATTTTGGATATAAATGTAGACTTACTGTGACTTAATGATAGGCCAAAACAAAGTTGCTGTTATTGTGAAAATGTCAGAGTCTACTGATATTACAGATTTATTAAAAGATCAGTATGTTTGGCTTAATGTGATGCAAAGACACCTCCTCCCTCACAACAGCTGTTTTAAAAGAGAGCTATTATCTCTACTATAATCTTAGGTGCATCTCAGAAAATTAGAATATCGTGAAAAAGGAAGAATTGTTTTCCCGTAATTTAAGCCAAAATGTGAAACTTTGACATATTCTAGATTCTAGACATGTAAAGCTTTATGCTTTATTTTCCAGCAGAATGTGCCACCTGCCCACAGGGCCGAAACCACAACGTTTGCTGACCATGGTATTGCTGTGCTTGATTGGCAAGCCAACTGACCTGAACCCCTTAGAGAGTCTGTGGTGTATTTTTAAGAGTAAAATAAGAAACACCAGACCCAACAATACAGACAAGCTGCAGGCCACTATCAAAGCAACCTGGGCTTCCCTAACATCTCAGCAGTGCTGAGGCTGATTGCCTCTATACCACACCGCACTGATGTAGTAATTCAGGGTCAAGGACCCCAGACCAAGTACTGAGTGCATAAAACATCTTTCCCAACTTTTCAACTTTTCAAGAGGCTGAAATTTCTGTATTATAAATGATCTATTTTGATATTCTAATATTTTGAGATGCACATGTAATCAATTATAACAATCGTTACAACAAGAAGCAGAACCACGCCGTCACAATAAAACTTGTGATGGGGTGGTAAGTGACAGGGTGGTTTTAGTATGTTACTCTTTAGGAATAGTATTTTTATTATATATCATGCTAACTAGAACACTTGAATTGACAGCTTTAAGCTTTGGAAACACACTTTGGGATATTTTTTGTAATTTATGCATCTTGTGTCAAACATTGCGGACCCAAATGGCAACTATTTCATAGAATGACTCAAAAGTCTATGTAGTGAAGTAAAGTAATGTTCCCAGATCTCAGCAATTACTTTTGTGAGTGTAAGGTTATAGTAACTGCAAGAAATGATCAGCCAAGCTTAGAAAATAAGTAGTATTTTAACCTGGAATTATCCTTAATCAGTTAATCTGCTCTTCGACTCCCAGAGGTCCATCTTTAGGCCCGCTGTTTCCATGAAGGCTGTGATAGACATGCTCCTCTAACCGCCTGGGATCCAGATGCTGGTACCGGCAGATGTGCCCTGGTACATCCACATCAGCATATTCATCGAGGCCGAGAGTGACAGTGGACTCCCGGTGCTTTGATGTGAAGTGGGAGCAGAGGTCAGGTGGTGGCAGTGGTAGAGCTGAAAGATCAGCGCAGTCTGGAGCCGAGCAGCTACAGCCGAGTTCAGGTTCAGTTCTTACACCGGGCATCATTGTCTCATAGTCTGATGATATCTGTGGGATAAACAGAATGAATTTACTGGACAATATTTAATTTTCAGTGAGCAGCCATGCTAGTGTTAGGCTGCACTTAGGCACAGCTGAGCTTTGAGCTTAATGCTAATGTTCAACATGCTCACAGTGACAATGCTAACATGCTGATGTTCAGCAAGTATAAGTGTTTACGATATTACATATTACACTATGGCGTCACAGGAGATACCATGTGGGGACTGCAGAAACTGTGATTGATGCTTTGTTATGAGTTTGTTTTGAGAGTGAGGATAACATTAAGGAAGTTAAAGGCTTTCAGTAGTCTTTCCCTTTCAGTAACAAACATTTAACATAGCAAATGCAAAACAAATCTGCAGCTCACCACGATCACCACTTTGTATGAATGAATGAACAGAAACACAGCAATAACAGTAGAAACGATGAAATATTGTTATCTGGATTAGTTGTAACTCCATGTCTGTTAATCTGTGTGTGTAGCTCACAGTTGCCCTGGATTACATAGTAAATGAAAGTCTATTGTTACGGAAAGGATTTCAACCCCATATATCCCCATAAGAACTTGTGTTGACTATATCCTAACACTTGATAATTAGCACTAAATGTTAGTAGCCTACAGCTGAGGTCATTTGATGTTGGCGCAAGATGAAAAGTCAAGTGACTAACTGCACTATTCATCCTGAGGGGGACATGAACGTCTGTACCAAATTTCATGACAATCCATCCCTTAGTTGCTAAGATATTTCAGTCTGGACAAAAGTGGTGGACCAGCCAGCCTTGCCAACCCAAGAGCCATGCTGCTAGCGTGGCTAAAGGTTTCTGTCATGGACAAACCTCTCTACTGTGGCGTGGAGCTGGTCTTCTTTGTTTGACAGCCAGCAGAAGACAAAGTGTGAACAGACACACACACAGTATCGCTGCCATGCACATCACTGCTGTCAAGTACAGCGGCAGGTGGAGCTCTGCAGGAGAGAACAACAACTGAAGTTACCTGGCAGAGGATTGAATTACACGCATATAAAATTATGAATATTGTGAAAAAGATGGGCACACAAACACACACACACACACACACACACATCACTTACTGTCTATTGTGAGATCTCTTGGAAAGACGGGTGATTCACTTACTGGAAAGCACAAATGCAAAAAAGCCAAAGAATTTATTTATATATAAAGTACAAAAGTAAAATAAAAACACACTGAGCCACTGTGTCTGATGTACTGTGTAGTTACACATATCCTACAGTAATATGTGAGATTTCTTGCAGGGTTCACTGTTGTTGAAGAATAGGAAAAAGACAATTAGTTTCCAAAAGTATACAAATGTGCAGTTGTAATAACCTAAGCATTTTTATAGCTAAAGAAACTCCTGAAAAGAGGAACATGTGTGGGAAAGTTAAAACTACTTAGTTCTCATTATAGAAAGAGGGGCCTGACAGCTTTAGATCTAAATGACCAGGTGGACAAAAACTATACAGTAACTGACTTGTAATCTACCTATTTAGCTGTAAGCTACTAACCACAAACCTGATTTTATTATAAGCATATGAACGTCATGTGCATGACAGAATACCACGTATACGTAGTTAACATGTTGATCCTGTGCCATGACACACGTACCTCGGGAAACATTCAGTAGTATGAAACTGATATAATCAGGGTCATGGCTGACATCCACCCCACACCGGTATGTCCCGCTGTCCGATGAGAAGAGTTTGTCCACCCTGACGATGAAGAAGGCCCCGGAGGTGTTGTCAAACAGAGAGAAACGTCCATTTGTCTCCCACTGATTGTGTTTCTCTGTCCGTATCAGGGTATTGGAGGACACATTGCCGTCATTGTCACGGCAGAAGTACTTATGATAGTGCACCCAGCCATCTGGATATACACATCTGAAGTCAAATCTCTGACCTTCGACACCGGTAACAGCTGTGGTTCTGACACTGATCAGAGCTACCAGTTAGAATAAGCTGTGTTAGTCTCAAAATCATGTAACCATGTGTTTTAATAAACAGTTTATCTCTAATGAAGTATTTTTCATCAGCATTAAAAGTCTAAATGCATAGCATGCAGCCCACCTTGGATTTGTAGTATAGTAATGATGACTGTTGTAGTTGTTCTCCATGAGATCCAGGTTGCTCCCATCTCTCCCAGTTTATTTTCAGTCTACACACTCTTCTTTCCAAGCTGTATAATGAGGCAGACACCTGGACTAAAGATCACGTATGAGTGTTCTGGTGCTTTCATGTCCATGTGTTAAAACCTCTTCCTCTTTCACTGATCAGACCACTTCACACAAAACCTTCAGCCTACAAGAGTGAAATCACGGCAGCTTGTGGGAATCAAAAAAACTTTCAGTGTCCTCATAGCATATTTTTTACTGCAAAATAGAGTTTAATTTGCCACATCCTTCAAGTCAATTCTATCCTCCCCTGTAATCTACTTGAGTTATCTTGAGTTTCCTTTTGCCAAAATTTATGTTATTACTGATCTATAAAGCATTAACAAATCATTTATAAACAGTTGAAGCAGCACCAGTCAATATTGTTTTATTAACAATAGATCAAATGACTACGAGGTGAATGGGATGCTCGTAGTCACAAATCCACAGAGATTTATCACCAGACTGCAGTTAAGAGGTTTATGGAGCATTTTATCTTCTTTTAGCCAATTGTTTTGGTTATTAAGACCCACAACTGTTTTCAATTACTCTTGTTTTCAGCAGCAGCAGGTTTACCAGCTTTAAACCTAAAATAAACCAACTGTAGACTGAATGAAAAAAGTGGGCATATTCGCCGTGACATCACCCATTTGTTTGTGGACCACTGTTTTGATCGCCATCTCGTTATTTTGCAACAGTTACTCACATAATCACTTCCTCTTTAGTGGTTTTGCCTACAAAATAAAAACACTAGAAGCTTATGTTTATTGTAATGGTTTATTTGTTGTTGAACTGAGCTTTGAGAAATTCTGAACGACACTGAAAAGAGTCTAGCCAGCTTGACACACCTCTGAAAGAGCCATCAGAAAACGTGATTCCCCTAAATGTCCTGTGCCTGGAGATACTGGGGAAATGAAAAAGCACTCTTAGGTTGATGGATGCGGATCAAAAACCGAAACACAAACACTGCAGCACATGCTGCAATGTAACCCGAAAAAACAGTTGCTGCAGAATGCTGTAATGGTCAAATGCACATATGTTATACACCACAAGAATCCATTTGTTGAAGAGAGAGAGGAAAAAAAAACTGTCTCCAGGTGGGATCAAACACACAACCCACTTGGTGCAAGTCATGTGCTTTACTAACTGAACTAACTGAACACCTTGTTGATAGAAGTCAATATTACGTCTTATATTCTCATCCACCATCTAATGGTTGAAAATATTGCTCTGATGCAAAACTTATTTGCCGACCCTGCTGTGTATTATTACTACTACTTCTTTGAACGTACGTATTCAATGTAGTGATGAGTGTCTGAAGTAGAACAAGAAGAACGTAGTGACGAAACACGCTATGTAGCGCTGTTTGTCTGTTTTCAGCTACTTTAGAAACATGAAGGCGCAACGTAGCAACGTCCTAGTAAGGGGGATAAATGGCTCACTCTAATAAAAACACAACAGTTCATTATGTAAGGTCTTTATACACCACTGAAAACATAGTTATGGATCATAGATTGCATTTCTATCGATAGATCCTTAGAAATATTACACACCGGACCTTTAAATATATGTTCTTTCCACTTCATTATGCATTATTCAATTTGATATTGCCTCATGGTACACACAAGATAATATGTGATATATTGATATGACCACTAGGAGTTGCCAAAGTCACAACCTTTAACATACACACAGAGAGGCATCAGCCCTAAAGTTTATGTGTTTATTAGGTACAGACAAATCTTATGACAGCTGCTGACTTTTTGAAGGTTAAAGCTTCCCCTTCATACTGGAAACATACAGTGGGTACGGAAAGTATTCAGACCCCTGTAAATTTTTCACTCTTCGTTTCATTGCAGCCATTTTCCAAAAATCAAAAAGTTCATTTTATTTCTCAGTAATGTACACTCAGCACCCCATCTTGACAGAAAAAAAACAGAAATGTAGAAATTTTTGCAAATTTATTAAAAAAGAAAAACTGAAATATCACATGGTCATAAGTATTCAGACCCTTTGCCGTGACACTCATATTTAACTCAGGTGCTGTCTATTTCTTCTGATCATCCTTGAGATGGTTCTACACCTTCATTTGAGTCCAGCTGTGTTTGATTTTACTGATTGGACTTGATTAGGAAAGCTACACACCTGTCTATATAAGACCTTACAGCTCACAGTGCATGTCAGAGCAAATGAGAATCATGAGGTCAAAGGAACTGCCTGAAGAGCTCAGAGACAGAATTGTGGCAAGGCACAGATCTGGCCAAGGTTACAAAAAAATTTCTGCTGCACTTAAGGTTCCTAAGAGCACAGTGGCCTCCATAATCTCAAATGGAAGACGTTTGGGACGACCAGAACCCTTCCTAGAGCTGGCCGTCCGGCCAAACTGAGCTATCGGGGGAGAAGAGCCTTGGTGAGAGAGGTAAAGAAGAACCCAAAGGTCACTGTGGCTGAGCTCCAGAGATGCAGTCGGGAGATGGGAGAAAGTTGTAGTAAGTCAACCATCACTGCAGCAATCCACCAGTCGGGGCTTTATGCAGAGTGGCCCGACGGAAGCCTCTCCTCAGTGCAAGACACATGAAAGCCGCATGGAGTTTGCTAAAAAACACCTGAAGGACTCCAAGATGGTGATAAATAAGATCCTCTGGTCTGATGAGACCAAGATAGAACTTTTTGGCCTTAATTCTAAGCGGTATGGTGTGGAGAAAACCAGGCACTGCTCATCACCTGTCCAATACAGTCTCAACAGTGAAGCATGGTGGTGGCAGCATCATGCTGGGGGTGTTTTTCAGCTGCAGGGACAGGACGACTGGTTGCAATCGAGGGAAAGATGAATGCGGCCAAGTACAGGGATATCCTGGACGAAAACCTTTTCCAGATGCTCTGGACCTCAGACTGGGCCGAAGGTTTACCTTCCAAAAGACAATGACCCTAAGCACCGCTAAAATAACGAAGGAGTGGCTTCACAACAACTCCGTGGCTGTCTTGAATGGCCCAGCCAGAGCCCTGACTTAAACCCAATGAGCATCTTGGAGAGACCTGAAAATGGCTGTCCACCAACGTTTACCATCCAACCTGACAGAACTGGAGAGGATCTGCAAGGAGGAATGGCAGAGGATACCCAAATCCAGATGTGAAAAACTTCTCTGCATCTTTCCCAAAACGACTCATGGCTGTATTAGATCAAAGGGTGCTTCTACTAAATACTGAACAAAGGGTCTGAATACTTATTACCATGTGATATTTCAGTTTTTCTTTTTTAATAAATTTGCAAAAATTTCTACATTTCTGTTTTTTTTCTGTCAAGATGGGGTGCTGAGTGTACATTACTGAGAAAAATGAACTTTTTTGATTTTTGGAAAATGGCTGCAATGAAACGAAGAGTGAAAAATTTACAGGGGCTGAAACTTTCCGTACCTTTCCGTACACCCAGTACAGTTCAAAATGCCACAAAGAGTCATTTATAAACACACACACACTTTTGTAAACAGATATCTGCATATGAATGCAGAATCTGTGCAGAGGACAAAGTATTGGTATTTGGTATTGGAAGGTTCTGGTTTCAGTTTGTAGTCTTTGTAATCCAGTATTGACCAATCATGTTGAATTGTGTTAATCTAAGATTTGCAATAAAGGATTTACTAAAAAACTTCTAAAATTGTGTTGAGTTTTATACATTGCAGATACTGCTTCACAGGGACATCTCTTAAATGAAGGCAAGTGCTACAGTTAGGAAGTCGCAGTTTGAAGACTTTCACTTGCTCTTGGAGAGAGGTCTTTTCTTCTCAAATCTGGGATTAAACTGCAAACTGCATTGTCTGCACTCTGGCTACCCAAGCTCATTTCCCAAGTTCCTGTTATTGAAAAAAGCATTGATGCTTCAACTTCTTAGTGATTGAGTTTGTGAAATACATAAGGCAAAAGCTAAATCTAATCATAATTACGAAAACACCAGAAACTCATCCTGCTAAAGGGAACAAGCCTAGCTAACAAGTACCACTCAGCTTATAAGGATTGTGAACCGTGTCATAGAGTCACAAAAAATGCCATGAATAATAAAAATACATGAAATGCAGCTCAAGTGCCTTATAAAATGCAATCTATCAAGAACACTGTGATGTTACAGGTAAAGTCTTAACAATAGCAGTTTCAAAAATCCATTTGAAGCTTCAAAGCTAAATGTTCATATAGAGCTGTTATATTAGATTTCATTATATTGTAAGGTATTCCTGTGATCCTGTAAACCCTGATCTATCTGAGCTTGGACTGCCATCACCCAGCCGTCCTTTTTCACTCTACTCTATCAAGTACTAACTATCAAGCAAATCAAACATTCATGTAAGTATGT